TTCCGAGTGCACGTGCTCTAACTCAATGTCGAACAAAGTGCGCTGCTTTGATCGGATGTTTCTAGCGATGAAGCAATGTCGTGATAAGGAATTTTATCAACAAAAGAATTTCACCACCTACAGCTCTTACAGCTAACCATTTAAACGCCTACCAAACCTAACCACAACGAACATAACTTAATTTAACCAGATCAGTAAAAAAATGTGATAAAGTGCCCGAGATAAGTTTCAACAGTAGCGCCATCTACTGTTTTAAAATTATTTTTCTTCAGTGTTTACGTGTTGTTTTGCTGTTAGAGAATGTTGTCGATTTGCCGGCGGTGTTCATCTCTTTTTTCACATTTTCTAATTCAGCAATGAAAATGGAGTTCCATACAGGTGAAACCACTGCCGCCTCAACTTTGGCCTCAGCCTCGATGGCTACCTCCACGATGCCCAATGTGGAGCACCTGCTGCAGAACTACAAGGTGGCCGATGTGCTGCACATTCAGCGACGGCTGAAGGGCGACGTCGAGAAGCGAAAAGCCGACCTGAAGGCGCTGATTGGGTAAGTTGATGCTGAATCTTCTTTATCTTCTAAAAACCTAACCTTCTTGACGTTTTTTCCTGTCCAGAGAACGGTACAATGAACTGCTCGAGGCGACCGACTCGATTGAGCAGATGAGCGGCTCTGTGGGCAGTTTGATTGTCTCGCTGAAGGAGCTGGGCGACGTTATGGGAAGCTGTACCCTGTCTGAAGATGCCTCGATGAGGAGGCTAAAGAAGGCAAAGAAGACCGAAGAAGTTCAAGACAACTCAAGGACGGATGAAAACGAGTACAGCAAAGCCGTCCTCTCAAAGCTGCTCTTTGACCTTCCGCTGCAGGTTTGTTGAGTTCACTTGTTGGTGTTGTTGTTGTTGTCTCAAAATCATCAATTTATATTTCTCCCCTTTAGGTGTGGAACGCCCTCGAGCAGGGGCGAATCACCTACGCCACCTACAGCTACTTTTACGGTCTTTTCCTCTACCGAAAGTTGAGAGAACAACGACAACAACAAAGTGGACAGCATTATCACCATCAACCCCACCATCGTCTGCACTTTTACAACCAGCGAGCGCTCGAGGACCTAAGTGGCCACATCGTTGAGCACTGCTGGCGGCGGCTGGCCACCGAGCAGCGGTCGGCCAGCAGCGAGGTCGATCTGTCCACCTTTGCGGACACCTTCAGCTGCATCTACCTTCTTGAAGCTGCTGCTGCTTCAAGTCATGAACGCCAACCTCGAACATCATCAGACATCAGCCGCCTTGTGGAGGAGTTTTACCGGCGCCAGACGGCCAACATCATCGGCGTCTGCTCTCAACAGGTCCCTTCTCTTTCCGCTCTCCTCGAGACGCTGCTGAACGTCATCACGAACACGGTCAAGTGCTCGCGGGTCTTCTACGCTTCGGAAGACGATGATGTAGAGGAATCTTCTTCAGCCCTGCTTCCACAACGCTTCCACCGACTAGTCACCGCCACCTACGGCTCATTTACCACCACTACTTCAAGGGCAAACAGTATTGCCCTCACTAAGGACAACAGTCGGCACCAGCTTCTTCACCACCTTCAGCAGTACCAGATTGCCGCTGATGAAGCCTCCTCCGCTGGTACTCCTCCTCAACTTCAACTGTGCCCCAAAGGCGCCGACAACATAGGCGCCTGGGTGGCCTCCATCACCGCCCAGCTGACGGCCACCCTCCAGCAGAAGGTGNCCACTGATAAAGCGTCCTCCGCTGGTACTCCTCCTCAACTTCAACTGTGCCCTAAAGGCGGCGACAGCATAAGCGCCTGGGTGGCCTCCATCACCGCCCAGCTGACGGCCACCCTCCAGCAGAAGGTGGAGGCGCCCTCCTTTGACTCCATTCGCTCGCTGTACGCCGAGCTGGAGGCCACCGAGGAGCGCCTCCTCTCGGGCACCTCCTTCCTCGAGTGGGAGGAGGAATTTGGAGGGACGGTGGACGTTCGCNGGAGGCGCCCTCCTTTGACTCCATTCGCTCGCTGTACGCCGAGCTGGAGGTCACTGAGGAGCGCCTCCTGACGGGTGCCTCCTTCCTCGAGTGGGAGGAGGAGTTTAGAGGGACGGTGGACGTCCGCTCCACCGTCTGGACAGCGGCCATCAGGCGGGCGGTGTTTGAGCGGCGGGTGCAGGCGCTGGCCGCCGCGAGGTCCGCCGAAGCGGTCCAGGCCGTCGAGGAGCGGCTGCTGATGGTGGAGGTGACGAAAAGCTTCAGCAGCGAGTCCACCGCCTCTGAAGCTCCTCCTTCAACATCCTCCCCCTCAAACTTTGGCGACCTTGTCTGGCGCGGATCAGCTTCCCAGTCCACCACCACCACCAACTCCAGCCTGCAAACACTGGTCACCGCCTGCTGTGACCTCCTGGAGGGGCACTTTTCCGCCCTCTACGAGGACGTCGCTCCGCTGAAGAAGGAGTCAGGCGGCTCGAGTCATTTCCTCGCCGACCTCCTCACCACCCACCTCTTCACCGCCTTTCTCGCTGACCTTCAGCAGCGAGTGAACCGCCTTCATCTGAGCAGCACCACCTCCAACCAGTGGCTCCTCTTTGGGGCGCTGCTCTTTGAGAGACTTTCTGTTGATCAGCAGGAGACGCCGCATTTTCGTCAGCAGCAGCAGCAGCAGCTAAAGGGTCAGAACTCCTTCCCCTCCTCTTACCGAAAGCTCTTTGAGGATCTAATTCAGCAGCAGCAGCAGCAGCAGCAGCAGCAAAGTACCTCTTCTTGGACTACCGTTCAGGCGGAGCTGCACCGCATCAGCGACTCCTACTTCTGTCGGTGGTTTGAGCTGGTGGTGGGCGGCCACCTGGCCACCTTCACCCCCGAGGCGCTGGTCGAGCTGACCGCCTTCCTGGGGAACCTCACCGCCTGGCAGCGGGTGCCCATTGCCGGTGGGGGAGGTGGTGAAGGTGGTGACGGAGGTGATTCAACCTCCTCCTCCTCTTCCCCCTCCTCCTCCTCGGCCGTGGAAGTGCCCACCACGATCTCCCTCTGTTTGCAGGCGCTCCTCGAGTCAGTCTGCGGTGACATCAATCGCCAGAGCGGGTACCGCCTCTCTGCACCGGTTCTCCGCTACATCGTCTCCCTACTCAGCGACCAGCTGCTCGCCGTCTACGAGGTGGCCATCAAGGGACGACTTTTGGGAGAGGAGAAGGGGGAGGCGGAGGGCCATCCTTGCCCCAGCGACTACCCTCCGGCGGCCAAGCAGACCATCGCCGTCCAGCTCTACTTTGACCTGATCTTTCTGCGCAGCTGCTTCAGCAGCACTGGCCCGGAACTTCAAAAGTCATCTTCACAACAGCAACAGCTGAAGCGACTCAACGAGCTGAAGGCTCTTTTAGAAGGAGGCAGCGGCGGCAACCTGATCGACCCCTTTGACCTGCACCTGATGTTCCCGGCGCTGGTGGCCAATGCGGAGCGCCACCTGCGCGCCAGCTCGGTACTCTTCGCCTTTCTCTTCTCTGCCAGCTCGACGACGACGACGACGTCTTCAATTGCCAACAAAACCACGACCACCACTGAAACTGCATCAACTGCAGCAGCGGTCCGCCACAACATCATGCTGGTCGTTCCTCCCCAGCAACAGTAACACAGAACAACAGCACAACAGCACAACACAGTTTCTTAGTCACCAACACTGTGTGTTATATTCTCATCAGTGTTTGTTTGCAGTCACTGTTGATATATTGCAGAAGGGGGAGAGGGGGAGATGTGATAATAAATTATTGGTTAGCAGGTAAACAGTCGTAGTGTAAGGAGGAGGAGATAAGAAAAGGTGGTGGTGGTGCTGATCCACAGTTCTAGTGTGTGTTTGGCTCAGAGGGTGCGCATCTCGTAATAGTTAGTAGGGAAAAATGTGCTGGTGCTGGTGAAAAGCAGTTCTCTGTGCGCAGTTTTCTTCCGCGTTTTTCAAACCGCGATTGCCTTTAGTACCTGAATCCGGTGCCGGCGTTTGGATTACCGCCCCCTCCACCGGCGGCATTGCCTCCCTGCGGCTGCTGCGTGAAGGCCTGGTTCATCGCCTGGCGGGCAGCCGTCTGCGCCGCCGAGCTGGCCATCTGCCGGACGCCGTCATTGGAGAGGACCTTGGTGGTGAACTCCGCCTGCGCCTTCTCGAAGCTGGCGCTCGAGTTGGAGTAGATGGAGCGCACCTGGAAATGAAATAGAGAGAGAGAGAGAGATTGATTAGCAATTCCAAATCACCAACTTTAAAAACTTACCTTGAGGAGAATGTAGAGCGAGGCGAGGCAGTAGGCGATGAGCACTGCCGCCGTGGCGAAGCAGATCAGCCGGTAGAAGACGCCCACGTTCGAGTTGGTCAGCGAGCCGATGGCGGTGAAGAGGCCACTGGAAAAAATGATAAGTAATAAATTAGATAATTCAAACTTTGGAGCAGTTGGGTCTACACAATGCAGAACACTTACACCGCCCCGGTGCCAGGGACGCCAAGAGCCCAGAAAATAGACAGCATCAATTGACAGAAGAAGACGAAGAAAAAGACCATAAAGTTGAAGGAGCTGTCGTCTCTGTTGGTGGTGATTGATAAGGAGAGAAAGAGAGCATAAGTAAAGTACTCAAGCTGAGTGCATTTCCTTCTCCCAAATGTACCTGAAAGCCTTGTACAGCGGTCGGAACCAGAAGAGAAAGGAGAGCGGCGTGAAGATGACGATGGTGATGATGGCGAAGAAGACCATGCCGATGCCGTTGTCGACGCCCTCCGCCAGCGACACCAGACAGGCGATGAAGTTGACGAGCAGGGTGCCCACGTAAACTGAGGAGGTGGGGAAAAGGTAGAAGAGAGCAAGATAAATAAAAACAAAGCACAAAGCACAAACAAACAAACTAAAGAGCACTACTCACAGAGCCACAGCTGGAAGACCTGGCGGACGATGCCCTGAAAGTCAATCTCAATCTCGACGTTGATGTCCTGGTAGAAGCAGGGCGTGCAGGGGAAGAAGCTGGGCAGCGGCGGAAAGTTGTTCTCCCGAGGGGCGGTGGCCCGTTGGGCGCGCTGCAGCTCCGCCTCGCGAGCGGCCAGCTCCGCCGCCCGACGGTCCAGCTCTTCCTGGCGCTGGCGAAGCTGCTCGGCGGTCAGGGTGTTTGCAGTGGTGGTGGTGGCGGAACTGTACGACGGCGGCGGCGGGAGATCATTCAAGTTCGATCTGGTGGTGGTGGCGGCGGCGGCGGCGAAGGTGTTGGAAGGGCTGAGCACGGCGGCCGCCGGCGACTCCATCGGTCCCGGAGCGGTGTTGGTCACCGGAGAGAAGGGGTCAATCTGGAGTGAAGAAGACTTTAAAAGGGGGTTCGAAATGGAAATAGGCTTCACGTACATTGCGCGTCGCCTGATTGGCAAAGGGGTTGTAGTCCTCGAGGCCGCCGCCTCCGAGTCCGGCACCATTGGAGATGTTGTTTTGATTGGTGGCGGCGGCGATGGTGGGATCCTAAGGTGATTGTGGTCAAGATGATAGTTCAGATTAGGCTGATTAGGTCACTTGATAGAACAGGTTACACTTACCGCAAAGGGATCATTTGAAAATGAATAGGTCGACATGATGTTTTGCTAAAGTCGAAGAAGAGAACCAGAGAACTTGTCAGTGGTTGTGGTGGTGGTGGCCAACTCAGCAGCGGTGAGATGCTCTCCTAGAGCGGCGGCTCTTCTTGACAGTTCAAAGAAGAAGAAGAAACAGAAACAGCAGAAAGAGTGTAACAGGGCAAGCTAAGNGAGATGCTCTCCTAGAGCGGCGGCTCTTCTTGACAGTTCGAAGAAGAAGAAACAGAAAACGCAGAAAGAGTGTAACAGGGCAAGCTAAAGCTTGAGACGACGTCGTCGATTGCGAGGCTGCTGGTGGTAATGGTGAGGGTGAGGAAGGCGCAGACCAGAGTGCAAACCAGAAACGACACTAACGTTGGTATATAGAAAGCAGAGCGGGTGGTGGTGGTTGTGGTAGTGCAGCTGCTGAGGGTGATGTCACATCTCGTACAAACACACAGACACTGCGCGCTCAGTATTGCACTGAGGACAGAACACCGTTGCCTGCCTGCTTGCTCACTGGCCGACGCACTACTTGCACAACAAACAACAGCAACAGCAGAAGCAGCGGTAGTGGTTGAGAGGTTTATGGAAAATCGAGGCAGCTTATCTCTGCCACCAAAATCCGCTATGGAGATAGAGCAAGCGAGGAGAAGTAGAAAGACCGACGACGCAGATGGCCACTAGTGAGTTTATCTTTCAAACATCAACAGCTAGAAAGAAAGAGAAATTAGGATTATAAGGCATGCTTTCATCTCCAGGCAGAGACAATCTTTCTTGGATACCTCTTTTGATGGGCTTTAGAAGCAAGCTGTTGGTTTGTTGTTGTTGTGGTGCGACGAGATCAGAGGCTTGAAGAGCTGCTCGAAGTCGTGGGAAATGCTCTACGCTCTGAGTCGATGCGGCAGCTTGATCTGACGATTCTTCAGCTGGTGATGGTGTATCCCCTCCTTCAACGGTGGTGACGATTACACACTACCACGACTGACGTTTTAGTGTCACTGTGGCGAGGTGTGTGTGTTTATGTTTGCGTAGCTCACCGGCGATGACTTTTCTGGTGAGCTCTGCTGATGAGTTCTTCGGCAAAGCAGCAGCAGAGGCAGAGGATCCTCGATGCTGCTGGAGTGGAAATGGCGCACTCAAGAAAAGAAGGCGAAAAGAAGCGAGGCAACGGCGGTTCTATTTCTCTCCTGTTGCTCGTAGTAACGGTTCNACGACTGACGTTTTAGTGTCACTGTGGCGAGGTGTGTGTGTTTATGTTTGCGTAGCTCACCGGCGATGACTTTTCTGGTGAGCTCTGCTGATGAGTTCTTCGGCA